GTCTTCAATGGGCAGACCATGTATTTAGGATGTAAGAAAACAGGCTTCCAAAAAAACTGTTAATTGCAAGAAATCAGATGAAGAGGCGTATTGGTTGGCTGAGAAAGTGGGTAACGATGATGTGGATGAGGACGCAAGAAATTATCTTAACAGTCGATCGTGAAGGAGAATAGTTATAGACTGTAAGCAGTGGGGAGGTTTGCTGAGGTAGGCCAAGGCTGAAATTTTGCTGTAGAGCCATAGGATGAATGAATTTTTGATTTTTCAATATAATAAGTTTCTTCTGATTTACATAAATGAATCGGCCAGTTGTTAAAGGACAAGGTGGTTTGGAACAGAACTGACTTGGCGACCTTTAATATCAATTATGACATTGGTAATCGTATATGATATCTAGAAACTCACACCATTTTAATCTGAAAGCATCTCCATTAATTTATACTATACTAGTAGATCATAAAATTAATCAATCGTGTCCATATGTGTGTGTAAAGTCCTCAATTAGCGTATCAATTGGAGCTGTCATCGAATTTTGCTAGAGAGCGGTTCTCGAAATAATCGCTTAGATCATTAACCTAAAAAGTTGTCCGAACCTTAACTGTTATGTTTCACTGTGAGTCTCCAGAGACAGAGAAAAGGCAAGCGAAAAAGAACAGATAAGTGATTGCAATTTTGCACATGATGAGTTCAAAATTTAGCTATTTTTATTATAAAGCACACCAAAGAATTATTAAAAGTACAATCATCATCATCATCACTGGCTCGACAACCCTTTTTGGATCTTGGCCTTGTATTTTGTATGCCGCATTCAACAGCGTGATTCCACGGTAGTTTTCACATTCTAACTGGTTTCCTTTTTTATGTAGTGGTACAATAATGCCGCTATTCCACTCCTTTGGTAGCTGTTTATTCAACCATATCTTTCTTATCAGCTCATGTATGGCTTTAAGTAATGCGTCTCCTCCTTCTTTCAGTAGCTCCGATGATATTTGATCCGATCCCGGTGATTTATTGTTCTTTAATTTGTCCACTGCTGTTCTAATCTCTGCTATTGTTGGTGGACTCTTTTCTCTGTTGTCTGCTTGGTCTAATGGTATATCAGGGTTCATCTCCGTCCTATTCACCTCAAGCTTTTCCTTAAAATGTTCTGTCCATCTTCTAAGTATTACTTGCTGTTCTGTCAATATATTACCCTCCTTATCTTTACACATCGTTGTTCTCGGTTTGAACTCTTTTCTGCTTTTGTTGAGTTTCTGGTAAAATTTTCTTGTCTCTGTTGGTTTACTTAGTTGTTGTAGTTCTTGAAGTTCTTTGTTGATATATTCTCTCTTCTTTCTTCGGTGAATTTTCTTTTCTTCTTTACGTAGTTGTTTATATTCTTCCTCTGCTTGTCGGGTTCTGTGCCTCTGTTGCATCTGTAGATATGCTCTGTTTTTTCTTTCTGTTATAGTTTGACATTCTTCGTCAAACCAGAGATTCGTTCTTGTTCTTCTTTCTTTACCTTCCATGCCCAACACCTCTTTAGCTGTTTCTTTTATGATTTCTCTGCACTCTTCCCACTCCTTATTTAGGTTTTCATGTTTTGGTCTGTTTTCTAGTTTGATGCTTATATTTTCTTTGTACTCTCTATTTTTGTTTGTTTCTTTGAGTCCTTCTATATTGTATCGTTCATGTTTAGAGCCTCTTTCCTTTTTTGAATTCCTTGATTGAAAGTACAATAATAGGTGATAATATCGATGGTGTAGCACACAAATGTTGTAAGTGCTAAAGTTACTGTTTTGAGAAAAATCGGTTTGAAGTTTAAACCTTTGTATTAAATCACGAATCCCTAAGAAAATCACAAATTATCTTCAATAACGTCAAAAGACAATCAAATATCAGTTTAATTAATAACATTTAAAAAAAAATGACTTGTAATGTTTTTGTTAAATACTTTGTTACTTACCACCTTTGTGCATAACCATTACTTGGGAAACATGTTCAATTTATGTTACGGTGAACAGATGATAAAACACAGGTTTTGATTCAAATAACAACAAACAATTAATCTCAACATTTTTCTTTAAATGAAATAACAAAATGTGTTAAAAAAAGAATTAAAACAGAATTTGTATATTAAAAAAAACTATTCGTTGTCGTCCGGTAATAATGTTTCATTAGTAACAGGAATGTCATTAATAAAATGAGCGTAATCTTGTGGAATAATACCACAATTTAAAAGAGATAAGAGATCCTTCTTCTTTTTTTGGGATACCGGCAATCTGTGGAAATATTTTTGGGTTAGTGCTAATGACTCCCAAGTTTGTGACCTTCCTCTTAGTTTCCTTGTATCAGAAACATCTATGGTTAAAAAAGTATCATCATACAAATTGTATTTATATTTAATTAAAAAAGGATCTTTTTTCTCAAAACGAATCCATTTAATTTTCAGCCACTGAACCTTTTCTTTATCTGTATTTAAAGTATTGTTAGGAGTCATAAGATCGGCAAGTTTCTGTAGATCATAAAAATCGTTGAAATTTAAATTATGTACACAGTATGGTTTAGGTTTTACTCTTGCAGCTGAAATTAGCACAGACCACTCTCTTGTAGAATATATTTTTTTATGCTTTCTTGCTCTTTCGATTGTGGCGTGCATCGAATCAGCTTCCAAGTAAGAGTGCCCTGTCTCCATAAATTTTAAATCGAAAACTTCCAAATGTTTAATTGTATTTACTGCATAGAGCAATGCGGCTGACACATACTTATTCCTGTTCTGGCCTCCACATGTATCACTGAATGTAGAAACATGCGTCACAGTTTCCGATAAGCTATACAAGTATTTAAGAAGACACGTTCCTATTTCTGTACTGCCTTTTTTCCCATGGGTTTCGTCCCATACATAACAATGACCTGTTGCATCTGACGCATCAAAAATTGTAAAATTATATACATTTAGCTTTAACTTATAAAATATTTGATTGTCTCCCGCAAATGGCACTGACAAAATTGCTTGTAAGTCAAATGTTGCGGCTCTAAAAGTTTGTCCTTTTTCTCTAGCGGCTCTTTCCTTATCTTCAGATTTCATCCGCATTGCATCCTTTTCTCTCTTTTTGTGACTGTCAAATTCCTCTTTTAATGGCTCCTTGTCTTTAGCAGTATTGTAAGCATTACACTTAAAACACTGGTCCTTTTTCGGAATGAAAAAATCCAATGCTGGGTCATATTTGTGGAATATCTTCTGATAAACAAATTTAGAAACCTTGGTCACGTTTCGATTTTCACAGAAGCCAATGTATAATCTGTACATTTGGGATAAATTTAAATCTGAAGACAAATACTGTTTCGTTGAATCTCGCCGGCAATAGTGTGATTCCACACGTGGAAAACTATCAATGTGTTCCTTGACAAGCAATACATCTTGTTCCTTTGTAACATTATGAGGTCTTTTACCTTTTCTTTTATCAAATCCAGTGTAGGTGTGTGTATTACCCACATTTTTCATACATGTTTCAATTACCCGATGGGAAATATTAAATGTTTTACAAAAAAAATTTAAACACACTCGAATTCTCAAGCCTTCGAAGTTTTTTAAATAAAAAATCCTTGAAGTTTTACGCCTTGACTGTTCTACTTGTTGTTTTCTTCTTTTTATTGGAACATCGGTCACTAATGAACTCAGGTGTAATTTTTGCTTATCATAGTCGCCCATTTCCCAGTATTCGCGACAAATAATTATTCTTAGTTCTTCAGTAATATTTTTTTCACATTTATACCTACATTTGGTGCAGTTAACGGGCAAAGGCTTCTTTTCTTCAACTGTTTTTCCACTCCTGTTTATATATTTCTTTCCACTAAGCCTATTTCTTTTTACAATGGACCTTTTCCATAAAAACTTATTACCTTGTTTTCTCTTCTTTGTTTTATTGTTTTGTTGTGCGAGCTCTTCCCGGTGTTGTTCAAGGGGCTCTTCCATTATCTGGTCCTCATCTAAGCTTAATTCTGAATCTGAAGGTACGTATGACTCACTAGAACTTTCAAAAGGGTCTCTTTCACTTTCACTGTCATTGTTTGATGCACCCGAAAACATTTTTGCAGTCCCGGATGTGCTAGGAAGCTCACTTTGTAATCTGCTCACATCTACAAACAAAAATTACAAATGTATAAAATAGGGACTATTAGTTACCTAAATTAACCATTTTTTAAATTTATTTCATATTATTTATGAGGTTTTCTCTACAATTACTTGATATAATATTACTTACTTATACTTTCCGTGGATAGAATAACCTCAGACGTACTTGTGGAACTTTCCTTTTGGTAATCAATTATACCAGAATCTAGAAAACAAAACTTTTACTTTTAAAATTAAACGTGTCTTATAAATAACGTACCAGTTTTCCTTTGCATTAATGCCAATTCTACTATTTTTGCCACCCTGGAAGTCATTTTATCAGAAGCAAGCACAAAATACTTTTGTCACTCAGTAAACAATATTTTATAACCTCAAAATTAACACGTGTAAAGTGGTAGGTACACCATTTGTTGGATAAACCGTCAAAGAAATACATGCACAAATGTGGTAGGTGATTTTACAACAAGTGCGCATACAGATTTTAAGTGTAAAGTACTTATACTGAATGGCAGATGGCGCTAGAGGTATTAAATTTATGGATTTAATCTACCACCTTTGTGCATAATAATTCTATAGCTTTAAATATACTTACGTGATACTTAACTCATTTTTCCTACAGATTGCACTTACAACATTTGTGCGCTACACCATCGATATGTCGTATATCTAGGGAAAAACACCAATTGGTTCAATCAGAAACTAATAATTGTGGGAGGAACTGTTTAAAAGTTGAAAAGTTGAGTTAAAACAAATTATTTGTTACAAAATAACGAGAATTTAAGTAGCGTAGTGTCTCAGCATTAATAAGAATTAAATATTAAGTAGCTAGTAAAAGTAAAAATATAATTTTAAAGGTAAGATTTAAGTTTGATTTATTTGTGTGCAGGTTACAATTCCATGGGTGACTACAGCAGAAGGATATACAACAGTGATAAAAGGCCAACTTCTACATCTTGAATCAACAACTAGTCTACAATTTCGTGATTTCGTGGAAAGTGAAACGTTGGAATTTTCAGTTTTATGCCATTATCCAATAGTGTGGAACGACCATCAGTTGTGGGAAGTTAACCTTACAGGATGCAAGGCCACTATTAATCTTATTTTCTTTCACAAATGGTTTTTCACAGGTAAATAGATTTATATCATTAATTATGCATAAAATTGAATAATGTTTTCTCAGATTTTCTAAACATTTGTCGACCACAGACGTTTTAGTGCTGTGTCTTTCATTGTTTTTATTAATTTTTAGATTTAATTAATGATTGGTCTTCAAAACAACGACCTGATCTGCTGCATTTTGTTCCGTATACCTGGAGATTCGGATTAACATTAAAACATTGTGAACTATTAACTCTAGTCAATCAATATAATTGGATAGATTGCAGTAGCGTCGGACAAAGAAGTAGATTGGAAAACACTCAATTTGCGCTATGTGCTCATTTTCTCCATCTTTCTTTCGATTTACCATTTGACGAGTTTTTACCAGAAACTGTACCAGTTAATCTTTCAATTCAGGTGAGAAGCTTTTTATGTACCGGTTTTCATGACCGGTGTTTTTTAATGATGATTTTTCGAGTTTATAATTCAAAGACATAAATACTGATAAGGACTTTTAAATTTTAACTGTTTATAGACACGAAAACCTATAACGAAACGAAACACTGGAACTGCTCTGAAAAAAATTGTACAGGTTATTTTTATTTATCACCAAATGAAGAAAAATATGCGAAAAACGGAGTACTACCACCGCGACAGTAGACCTTTCAAAAATTCATAAGGAAAATGCTCCTTTAAGATTATCAGTGCAATTGGCTCCCCTCAAAGTATCAAACGACCTTGTCAATACGACTCATTCGCCAGTCTGAAACTTACATCAGCAATTCTACGCACTTTGTTGAAGAAATAAAGAATATCACACAAGTCCGAATAATATATTAGGAAGTTTCGAAGTAGTTTCACGCTTTACTATGTCAGTTAGTGACTCATTAGTTGAGCAAGAAGTCAGCAGTTCTCAGAAGACATCGCAAAAGTTTTTCCAGGCGTCACAAAAGAAGACGTCAATGCTGTATCCGCCGCTAAAGTGGAGCGGAGGATTTTATGAACAGACTGATGGAATGACAAGGGAAATTCGATGAGCCATTAATTGCAAACTTTTTCATAGAAAAGTTTACGGATAACTTTTTCAGGAAACATTATGGTGGTTATGTTATGTTGATGATACTTTAGCGACGTGGAGTGATGGGTATGGTGAATTTATAAATCTCTTAAATTTGTTAATTTCCTAAACATAAAGAGCCATTTCACCATGGAAAAAGAGAGCAGTGGGCATCTTGCAAACGTTCTATACATCCAAAAAGAGTCCAAGAATCAGAACGCCAAGTTTTTAAAAATTGTATAAGACCGGAGATCACTACTTAAAAATAAATATTCAGAAACTAAAAGTAAGGGTCATTCATGGAAACTGAAATGAATAATGTGGCAGAGTACGAAGTAGTTAAACAATTCAACTGCTTGGTTACTGCCAAGAATCAGCCACATCATCACTCATACAAAACAACTATTAAACTTTATTTGAAAAAACAGCTGCTGAATGTGTGTTCACCCCCTTCGGCTGATAAAATCACTGAAGTAAGTAATTACCAACGGCGGAGGATAATATATTTTCTTAATTAAAATGAAATATATTTTCTTAATAAAATTATATACAAATATTATATACTTTTAGACACCAAAGATGCAAGGTTAAGTTATAAAAAATGCAAAAAGTCAACTATAATGATATACTTCATAATTATAATACTGACCTCACAGGTACTGATACACAGAACGAATGACAATATTAGGCAACATACAATACCGCTATTTAATTTAAACTGAAATTCTGTAGAACTAGCCATATATGACAGCTACTAGAACTATGAATTAAGTAAAGGCTTCTTTATTGAATACTTTCTATAGTGTATAGTATCTTTGCTTAGGTGATGAATGAAGAAACATACGTCCGCGTTTAAAACTCTCATTTGCCTGTATCTGACAGATATGTAACTCTAAATGTGCCCCGAGTATGATTTTACTCATGACAAAATCCGTGAAATGAACTATACTCATAGTAGACTATCAAACTATTATCCACGGATGTTCAGAGAGTTTAACGAAATAAAAAAACATCCGATCATAAAGAAGACGTTAACTATGGTATTTATATGGGATTAAACCACAATTAATTGTAATAAAGATTACATTTTACATTTATTTTGACGTTTCGATCTTCACTTCGGAAATTGTTTTCAAAAAAGGTTATTATCATAGACAAATAATATAATAGTAGGTTATTATAAAACGATGAGTTATTTCTACCTGTACTTGTTCACGGTTCGTAGACTTACTACGGTTGCCTCTTCCGCCTAACCAATGAACATTAAGCCGGAACTGTACTCTCATGACGTAATTTGAATCGTAACATTCAGTCCTGTGATGTATCACAGATAACGTTTATAATCTAAAGTTTTATAATATATAATATATTAATATAATGTTTATAATCTAAAACATAACGTTATTACTATATTTTCACACTAGCCGAAAACACATTTAAACTGTCATTAGTGTCATATTTACTTGTTAAGGTTGATCTTCACCCACAATTAATTTGTTTCTGATCCTAGAGATGGCTCTACTGCGGCATGCTAATCTGGTAAATTTTTTAACTTAATTGTAGATTTCTACATGATGACTCTGTAATATTTTCAAACCCTAATATAAATTACAGTTTTCTATCATTATATCCATTGACTGAGTTGCCAAATTGTGTAGACAGTAATTTTATCAAATACGCTATAACTTTTACGCTTACTAGTAGACCGAGTTAGCAAAGATATCTTTAACAACATCTTTATGTATAATATTTTACTGCTCTGCTGTGTCAAAATAAACAAAGTTAAGGTCTATTCTCATTAGACGTGCCAGGCCCGTGCTCGTCACCTGACCGGCATATGCCATGCTTTTGGTAAATATTCACACTATTCGCGCTCGTAGCATGCTTTCAGCGGTATTTTACACAGGCAGTCGGTTAGACGTGTCGGTGGGTAGTTGTGCAGTTGTAATGTTTTCCACGGCAACTTTAGTAAAAATTGCATTTTTTACTTTGGATGCCGAAGAAGAAGGGCATATGAGAGATAAAGTTAAAAAAGAAGGTTTTGGATACATCCAATGATTAAGAAAAGAAAAATAGAAGGAGAATACTATACCTTGTATAAAGAACTCATGGATAATGAGTCAAAATTTTATATATATTATAGAATGTCAATTGCCGAATTTCAGCAGAATTACCAACAGAATGCGATTTACAACAAATTGCCAAAAAATTTTGGTTGTCGTGGAGTTTTCCCAAGGGCATTAGGAGCCCTAGATGAAAAGCACATCAAAATTATAGCACCAATCAATAGTAGTTCCAGCTACTTTAACTACAAAAAGATTTTTTCTGTAGTTCTACTTGCTTTAGTAGATATGTAGTTCGACTTGCACTAGGAAATCACGATAAACCATTTTTGTCCTTAAAAAACTCACTCCCTCCATTTTCCGAACTCAGGTCGCCCGTAAATTATTTTTTCTTTTATTAATGTCATATCATCTTTCTTTTCCAACGAGTTTCATCCTACTATTATTTTTTTTGTTTGAAATATTATCGGCAGTGGTCTATTACCTAGATAAAATATAGTGTTTTATTTACCTATTTTAATATTTTCTCCAATATCCCACCATACCTCAGACTTATATGCTGCATCTGCATACAGTCAATTCATAAAATCGTATAATTTACTTCTCATACGAACTAATTCTATTAAAAATTCATCAGCATCATGTGAAAATAATTTTTTTCGCACCGTTTTGCCTGTCGAAACCCGTCTGAAGTATTCACACTATGTAGGACTGTGCAAGGAATGTGCCAGGCATGGGCTAGGAAAATATTGTTTGAAAAGATTGTCCGATGCCGGGCACGGACCGTTCCCACTCCAAGCACTTGTAGTGAGAACGGACCGTCGGTAAACCCATTTAAATAACGTTAAAGTAATTTTGCACGTCTCGAGCATGGCACAAGCCGAGCACATGCCTGGCACTATAGTGAGAATAGGCCTTTACGGTTTTGCAGGAACACAAGGTCTCATTCACACATATCATTGAAAAATGATCTATATTTATTATCTAAACATTTTTATCGCCAAAGAGGTACTTAGCGGCGCTATCTGTGTCTGTAGCGGTAGTATCGTATTACCATTAAATTTATACATGCATTCATATATTATTTTTTTGTTGATAGTTAAAAATTAAATTATCTGGTAATATTAAATATTTTAGTGCGAATTATATGAAAAATGGTCAATCGTCTAAAACATGCCAACATGTCTTGCGTTAGATGTATGATTTGGGGTGGTTGATACGTATTTAGTTATCACGGTTATATTTGATCTAATTACCCAGCTTTTTTATGTTTTCTAGGAGGTTCTTCGGAATGACTCCAGTGGTAGAAAGAATAATAGGTATCGTCTGGGTACTTTCCATTCTCCATTGTCATCTTATTTGTATTTCCAGATCTCTGTACTTGGAGATCTTTTCGTTGTACTTAACACTCAGATTATTGTTGTTAGGTATCGCCACATCGATTAGAGTTGTTTGTCTTGTTATTTTATTAACTAGCACGAGATCTGGTCTATTATGTGCTACAGTTTGGTCTGTGAGCACAGTGCGACCCCAGTATAGCTTGTAGTTGTCATTCTCTGTAGTTTGCTGGATCATATTGCGAGTGTCTTGAAGTGCTTAGCATTATTTGATCAGCTCTTTTAATGACTTTTCTACTTGTTGTTCCTCGTATATATTCTGTCATTTGACCAATGTCCCCACGCAATAATTCAATCTTGTTTAGGAGCCGTTTCTCCCAGGGTGCAACTCTGTTATCAGTCCTTCCGGCATTAGTACCTCGTCGTGTTATGATCCTAATTCCCATTACATTAGCTGTTGCTGTTGCTGCACAGTAAATAAGCATATGCAAATATTCCAGCGTATGGGCTTGTACGAAGTAATTGGGTAGGACTTCAGTATTTATAATTCGTAACAGAGCACCTAGTTTTTTAGAAGAGTTTATTTTTGGTAGCGGTGGTCTGCTTTCTAAAATCATATGCTTACACGAGAAATTATGAAGAAAATTCAAGGAAGAGTCAGAAAAATTATTTCTGTATAAGGCTGTAAATACTGGACGTCAATGAAATCAGTTTTTGTCTAAAATTTTGCAGACCAACGTAACGAATACTCATTAACTGGAGATTTAGTCAATCTTCGTCGAGCCCCAGACAAAAATCCTCATCAATTTCATGAATAAGTCATGAGTTTTTTAAATACTATTTCAAATCACATTGAATTGAACACATAACATAAGAAAGTTAAAAGAAATAAAAAAAAATTTTCCAACAAGCTCTAACCATATTTTTGGCAGGTCTAATAGAACCCCTGGGATCAACAAT